CTGAGGGAAATGTGTTAGTAGAGAGCAATATTTTAAAGTTCACAGCTTTTCTGGTGATTTTAGTGAAGTAAGCTCAAGTGAACCTTGGGCAAAGAAGAGCTGAATGAAAGGTCATTTTATTCATAAAAAGCAATGCTACTGAATACTAATCACTGAGCGCTTTGCTCCGTTTCTGATCATTATATACGCCTAACATCCACCTCCTTTTGAAATATTACCGGCCTGTCTTCTATCCCCAAATGGAAAAGCAAATAACTGAGGAACTGAAAGCCAAATTCCATGTGTGATACATTATTTGAAAGCTAACAGCTTATAGTTTCAGAAAATATAAATAAATATTGGGTAAAACTCAGCCTAATCTGCATCAGTTCAAACATGACTCAAAGTTTTTTTTTATTCTAGAAAATATTAGGTCTTTTTTTGAACAGCAGTAATAAAGACATGCCTGAGGATAGGCAGGTCTCATTGTTTTCCATTGGTTCTGCATCATGTCAATCACAATGCAGAAAAGGTCAGACCTCTGGCTGCAGCAGTTCCAGAGCTGTGGGGCTTTGAACCTTTGGTTTCATCAGCGTCTCCAAATCTCTCATAGGCTGCAGCCTGAAGTCACCTTAATCCGATTATTTTTGCCCATATGCGACCTGGATCTGATCGTTTCATGGCTGAAAAACACAGATCCCATTTTTTCCAATGTGATCCAGGCCGCTTGGCTCTGAATCCGATACGAATCTCATCTTTTCAAATGCTACCTGTGTTTGAACGGCCATGATTCATCCGACCTGAACTTCATCAATACCCGACATGGGTCACTATTCTGCGTCTTGCTGCGCAGAAGTGGCAAGAAAAACAACAACAGGGGGCAGATGATGAGCGGAGAGCAGGATTTATGTTTAACCATCTTGAAAAGATAGATTTTATGGTTGGAAAAGATCGCTAGCTGCGCGCCGCCGCTACCATCCATGTTTACTTCCAGGAAAAAAGAACACGCTGGCCTGTGACATCATCTCGTCCTCTACTGCGCATGCGGGACACTTGCGTTGTATGACTGCAGTTCACACTGCAGATCACATACAAGTCGCAGATATTGCGAAATATGAACGGCGACGCAAAAAAATCGGAATTCACAAAAAATCGGAATTGAGCATCAAGGCCTGCAGTGAGAACGTAGCCTTGGAGCAAAATTACAAAGATGCTCTGGGTTTGACAGGCTTTAAATTATATGTAAATATTTAAATATATTGTATTTTGAGCCAAAGATAAAAAACGATTTCAGGAGGCAGCTGTTTTATCCAGAGGGGAAAGGGCGGGCGCTCTAGCGCCACCTGGTGTCTATCTGTGCGCGGCTCTGTTTGTTAGGTTTGTAGTGAGAATGTTAGCCAGAAATAGAGAGGTAGTTTATCTCCAGGATCCTCGCTAAAGAAGCTAGAGATATACATTCTAGATCTGATTTCACCTGAACAGATGAAAGTCTCTGAAAGGTTCCCAGATCTAAAGAACTTCACCAACCAGACAGAAAATGCAGAAAAGCAGGTTATTTGTTTCCATTAACGATGGAAATCCGTCTTTCTAGTCAATTATTTCAAAGAGGTTTTTATAGATATAAATAAATCCCTCCTCTGGTTTATAGAAACACCAGATCTACATCAATTAGAAATCTGTCTGATAGAATCCCCTATGACCCAGAACTGCAGTGCATTCTGGGAGATGTAGGCAGCGGGCCGGCCTCCTCATAAAGGTTAAAGGTTCCGTTTAAAAAGGTTTAGCGTTTAAATTCAGGATCTTTTTTTTTAGACTGATGAAATAAAACGATTGATTATTTATTGATTGACGGATCTGGATTCGTTTTTCTGCCATTTTGCTTCAGAGTTCCTGGATCTTCTACATCAGCTTGGTTCTCTTCTTATTCTCCTGGACGGGCCCGACTCGGAGCCATGACCGGTCCGGAGCTCCTGCTGGACTCCAGCATCCGGGTGTGGGTGGTCCTCCCCATCGTCTTCATCACCTTCTTCGTCGGGGTGCTGCGTCACTATGTGAGCCAGCTGCTGCACAGCGACAAGAAGGTGGAGCTGGAGCAGGTTTCTGACAGGTGAGGGTTCCTCCGGACGATGGGGCGGGCCTGGTTCCTCCGGGCGACGGGGGGGGGCCTGGTTCCTCCGGGCGACGGGGGGTGCCTGGTTCCTCCGGGCGACGGGAGGGCCTGGTTCCTCCTGGCCACTGAGGGCCTGGTTCCTCCGGGTGACGGGGGGGGGGACGGGTTCCTGCGGGCGACGG